TATATGTATGGATCTACTTTTGATACTTTTGAAACACATTTTGTAGTTTCTGAAAATGCATATTTAGCAAACCCAGCCCTAACCTTACTAACCCTAAACACATGTCTGGTTCCCTAGTGGATGTTAAAAGGTTAGTTGATAATCAATGGTGCTAATGATTAGTGCTTGAGCACACCCTTCTGGTTATTCATGGTCATATCAGACAGTTTATAAGAGAAAGACATGACGCTCACATAAACCTCAGCAGAGGTCTATGGACCAGTTCTGTAATGGAAAAGATTGTTGCTGTTCCATCTGGACTCAAAGAGCCAAAGATGCTGTTGCTCTGATATCTGACACAGTTTCCCCTGTGTGGTGTTTGAAGCAAGTAGATGTTATTCATTTTATTTCCAGTTATGTAGGCGATCCATTACATTACATAACCCAAAATGGCTTTTTCATAGTTGTTTTTCAGATGAGCCAGAAGCCGCATTGAGGTTGGCACGCCACATTGAGTCATTAATGAAGCTGTACAAATTGTTACATAAAAGAAACAAATTTGTATGTTCAATAAGAAGCTCTGCAATCACTCATCTGCCTGCTTTGCTGTGTGTTTAGTCTTCTAGTCTGTTCTTTACATCACTTCCTCTTTTCCACGCTGTCAAACTCAATACTGACATCATTACTCAAGTCCAATCATTTTCTTGCCTGTGTTCTGTGAGCCAATCAGCCTCTGCTCAGTGTGCTTTAATGTGAGCGCTCTCTTCTCATTCTGCCTTTCAGACTCTAATTCTCCTCCCCATCTCTGCCTCATCCTGGTCACTGGAGTCCCATTCAAGCCTCCACCTTCATCATCATCACCAACATCAGCACCTAGACTCGGGGGGTCCTGTCCTTATTCCTCTCACTGCTGGGATAGGAATTAGACTCCACTGTGCTATGATGGTTCTTTAAAGTTTTACCTCCTAACAGCTTATCAGCTGAATTCTGCATCCCAATAAATCATTTTCCAAATTACCTCTCCTTATTCAATTACGAACGTCTGTAGTAATATGTAACCAGCAGTTTAACTAATAAGCTAACTTTGCTTTACTTGACAACCATCCCAATGTTTGTAAAAGGATTTCATTTGAAAAAAATCATCATTCCTTTCATAAAGCTTAGCGAGTAATTTTATTGCCTAAACTTACACAAAGAGTGAATGAAAATTAAATTTAAAAGTGGTCCCACACCTGTGGACTTCATGATGGATGAGCAGAGGATGGAGGATATAACAGTTTAGAGCCAGGACTTGTTGCTTATGAGTGCGAAGAAAATGATACGTATATGTAGCATATAAAAACTCATTATAATTGTGTACGTGACTAAAAACTAACTGGACTGCAAAGTGAGCCTGTTTTAAAGCGCTCCTCTTTCCGTGCAGAGGTTATGCTCTGATAGCTGATCTAATTGCAGGCTTCTGCAGTTGGAGCTTTACCATGTATTTCTCTGCAGTTGACTGATGTAGCTAAAAAAAAGCTGAGACTCGATGAGCATTGCTTGAAACCCGCTGTCTGCTGTGAGTCTTGTTGGCTCGACTACATCCGGATCCACTATTTATCTCTTGTGTTCAGTTTCAGACTTAGAGTGGTGCAAACATGAGTGGGTTGGATCATAAATATACTGTAGGTTCAACTGACGCAGCGTTTTGTCTCAGTATACGTCAGAAAATCCTACGAAAAGAAATATGCTTTTAAGGAACCGTGGAGCCTTACGTCCTAAATTGAATCTAAAGTTTTGATTCATTTAGCAGCCAAACAACATGTGGCATTCGGTCTACAATGGAAATGAATCATTGTTTGGAAAGTTCTTTACAACACTATTGCAGACGCTGCCACAAATGTGTTGCACTTGTTGGATGCTTTGTTTTCACCCTTCTGTTCAGTTCATCTTGGAATACAATTTAAGCCTGAAGACTGTGTGGCTATCTACCATAACCTTCTCCAGTCATTTGCTCCCTTTTTGTTAACGTTTTGATATCCCTATAGACTGCTACATCCCACAGTACAGTGTTTCCTAGTAGTGGACCATAGTTGCAGTTAGTGTAGTTACTGTCTTTAACTTCCATTGCTGCAGGAAGACTGTAAGTTCAATTCTTGCATATTCCCTGAAAAAGGCCTGTTTTCTATTAGATCTTAATGTCTTTTCACTTATTGGTGACCTTTGGTTTATAATTGCACTTCCATTTTCTGCAGTAAGTGCACACTCCTGTGGTTTTTCTATCTTCCACAGATATTTTAAGAGGTTTTGCTTAAACACTCCTGTCTAGACGCACTGTTATGATCAACCACTAATACCCAATTCTTCTTGTGCGTGCGGATGAAATACAAGCTCATCATTTGGAGGGTTGGCAATGTTCCACTGTAAGCTTTTCATGTAAGCTTCTAAGACTAATATGAATATGTCTTGAAGTGTGGTGTGGTATAAGATATGGCATGGCATACATGTTACAGATTTAGCATGATAACCATTGGCATCCTTATTTTTGGAGGCAGAAGTGAACATGTCAGAACAAATGGAGTCAGCTAATGTTAGAAATGGCCTGTATTTGTATAGCGCTTTACTGGTTCCTAAGGACCCCAAAGCGCTTTACACATCCGGTCACACACATTCACACACTGGTGATGGCAGCTACATTGAAAGAAAAGCTGGATCCATAAAGTGCATGGGTGCACACACTGCTAATCACTGAAGTATATACTTATTTGCCACTCTGTACCACAAAGCTGGCAGATTATTCATTTTAAAATGTTTTACTGACAGGAAAACGTGTCATGGTCCTGGGCCATGGTGGCCCAGTATTCTTAGTTTTCATGTATTTGTGTATTGTTCTTCCTGGGTTTCTCTGTTACGTTGTTCCTTATGTGTTTTCCCCTTGTGACTCTTACCCCCTGTGTGCCCCTCTGTGTATCTGTGAGCCCTCGTCTCTCTTTGTGTTTTATTCTATGTTTCCCCAGCCCGTTATGTCTGTGTTCTCCCCGTGCTCTGTGTACTTCCTGTTTTACTTTGACAGTCTCCCGTCAGTGTTGCATTTACTCCTGCCGTGTCTTGTTATGATTATCAGTGTCACCTGTGTTCCCCGTGTGTTCCCACTTCCCTCGTTAACCCTCTGTGTATTTATGTCTGCGTCTCCCTCAGTTCGGTGTCGCGTTCTCCCTCATCCATGGCCGTGCGTTTCTCTGTGTGTTACGTTATAGTTTCCTGGTTTAATTTGTATGGTTCTGCTCTCCAGCAATAAAGCTGTGAATTTTGAGTTCATTCCTGCCTCTGTGAGTTTGCGATTGGGTCCTCATCCAGCCTGCACACAGCCGAATCATGACAAAAAGTGGCTCAAATTAGCAAATATACGTTATTGGCTCCACCATTTTATCCAGTAAGTCTTAAAACAATTCTGAGAGGCATTTTAAATTCTGAATGCTCTATAAAACTCAACAACTACAGCAGTTCAGACCCCAACTCTAATTTTGATCCTAATGGTAACCTTAGGCAATTAGAAAATGCAACGTCTACCTTTGAGGAACACCTGTTGATCAAAAGAGGAAGGAGAGAACCGAGGCTATAAATACACAACGGCTAATTGAGGGAATGTTGAACAGGTGGGTAAACAAACAGATGCAAGCATTTAAAAGATAACAAGATAAAGGAAGCAAAACTAAATGGAAGGCACTGAGAGCTGGAAGGATATGGGGAATACTGCAGGGTCAAATGAAACTTAAGAACTGAGACAACCGGAAAGTAACCGACCCACAATAATTCAACAACTACTCAAAACACCATGAATACAATTGAACTAAAAATAAATGCAAAATTCAAAACCCAGGGCCCCAACAGGAGAATCTGCAAACTCCACCTGGAATGTCCTCAGGCTAGGCTAACCCCTAACCCAGGACCTTCTTGCTGTCAGGCGATAGTAACCTCGGCAACACTGTATCACAAACTTTATCTTGATGCATTATCTAAATATTAGGAAATTAGGAAATAAGCAACAAACTTGGTGCTATTCTATATTTGAAAAGGTTTTTGCCCTCCCCCACCGCAGCAACAGCAGTCCTGACATTGTGCAGTATTATGAATGGTCTGTCATGTCCCAGGAGGGTAAAAGATTTATTATCAGAAGGAAAAACACATCAGCTATTGATCACTGTAAACAAATGAGAAGATGGAGACACCAGACGTCTTCACTTTTACAGAAAATAATATTTTTTGTCACTATTACAAGTTTCCGTACGGTGTTACAGGCACAGAGTCTAACATTTTCCACTTGGGTTGGGGTTACGTTAGAGCATTTTCATCAAAATAATCAAGCACAACTACGAGTGAGCGATGGTCTGTTCAAGAGGTAGGCTTATTCGATCAATGTGAAGCCTAAAACAGTGCTGAGGATATTATTTTTTCAGCATGTGCTTCATACATATTTTACTACTTCTTACATCAATTTCTCCATTCCTGAAGCATGAGACAGGGAGCAGAGCAGCAATAACAAAAGCCCACTTGAGATTTAATAAGACACCTTTAACATCAGTGTTGAAGGAGTCCTCCAGCAGCACAGAAACGAGGCACGGAGCGAGGTGGACGCTGGCAGCTCTGAAGAGTTGGTGGGTGGATGCAGACTGATGAGGAGGAGGATGAATAAAGGGTTGCAGAGAAGGAGGATGGTGATTGTGAGGTGGTTAGTTTGAAGTGGGAATGAATATGGGTGGAGTAGATCTATAACAAGACAAACACTCCTGCTAGAGACCAGATAAGAGATAGTCCAAGGCTGGAGTGGAACATAAATCGTTCTCCAGCCTCAGAATGATATTTATAGCACTGCTTGTTAGTATACAACTTAGATTAAACAGCCATACACAATGTAGTTATTTTTATTGTTATTTATAGATATAAACTAACATGACTGTTGTCACATAACAGTGAATCAGCATGCTGTCAGTTCTGTTAATAACAGCTTCTACTTTGGCCCTTCTAAAAGCTCACTGTCTGGCTCAGTTTTCATTGGAATAATCCAGAGAAATTATTCTTTCACCACTCAGTTATTTATGTACTTATTTCCTTTTGAACTTGGTATCCTGTCACTGCGCCTGCATTGGACGTCTGTTTTGCTTCCAAGCAGTCCAGCAGGGTTTGGGAGTGTGCTGGGTTCCTTCAGGTGACCCAGTGCATGTGACCTTAAATAAGGTTGTATGATCTGGTAAATGCAGGTTATCAAAACTACAAAGAAGTGATGACTGTCAAGCTTCCAGCTTGTTGCTAATGAACCTTTTCTGCCTTTTTGATCACATGTTGTGTTCGTGTATTTTGAGCTATTCTAATGTTGACCCTTCACCTTTTGAGTTCGATGTCGTCGTCGGTGACGACCCCAGCACTAACTGTAATCGGCTGGGCCACAGTTATCAATAGGCTATCAGAAAATGTCATTTCTGCTGTTAGTAAAGTTTCACTGTGTGACTGCAACAATTTTAGCAACTTTCAGTTTTTATACAATGAAAGCCTGTCCACAGTATAATCATTAAAACATAAATACAGTGTTTATACATCAGAACTCATCATAAAAGGTTGTACAGATAAAAACAGGAACTATAAAGGAACAAAGTAAGATAATTTTCTCTCTCTAGTATGACTTAAACACCCCGTTAGATGCTTCTGATATTTTTACTCCTGGACTCAAAAACAAAATTGCTACATGACCTTTCCTTCAACTAAGATGTGTGTTGTTTATATGAAATCATGCTGTAATCCAGAAAGAAAAAAAGATTTTCCCCTGTGCCAAATAAACAGCGTTAGAGCACCCAACCAAGGAGCGACAGACTAGAATGGATATGAACAGCCAATAAAGTGATGGCTGTTTTGGCTCGGTATCCGTGCAGAGCCAATAATAAGACATTCTAAAAGCCACAATAAAGCATTAGGCTGATTAGCCCGACTTTAATACCAAACTCAAAGCTCACGTTGTAGGCTGAAATACAGTAAATACACTTCACAGCAAGGGCCATAGATTTCCCTCTGAATATTCGAGGGACTAATTGAATTACTCTTAATGGAATGAGTGTTTTGAGGGAGAGTTAGAGAAACAGAAAAGACTGGTCCAAATTTACAAAATGCACTATCTGATGGTACATTAACTTTTCTAATAATGTTGCATAAGCTGTGCATCAGTGAACATTTGGGAGGTTGTATTGGTTTTCTAAGGACTACCAGCTGATCCAGGAATTTTTCCTCTTTTTGCTAATTTAGTGATCTTCAGTTAAAGGCGATAGTTCAACAGCTTTAGGTTTTTCTTGACATTTAATTTGAATGATTGATATCCCTCATATTAGTCTGCTAACATAACTCGCTTTAGTCCAGCTGAGGTTAATGTAAACTTAACGTACAGTCATGTGACAAATTAAGCAAGCTCCTACTACTTTCATAACAATTAAATCAGTAATTAGCAGCCAGATGCTGCTAATTACTCGCGCAGGTGTGCAAGTATGAGCACCTGTATGAGAGCAGATGTTTTGGCAGTTTGCTGATTGAGTGCGTTCAGGTGTTTGTTAATGCCAAGAAGGAAAGACAGCCACAATCTTAATGAAGACACTGCTAGAAAGGAAAGGTTGCCAGGAGAAAGCCTGTTCTCTCTACAAAGGACATGGCAGTGCGGTTTAGGTTTTTAAAGTTGCGTCTGAACAAATCACAGAACTTCTGGAATAAAGTTTTTCGGACCGATGAAACCTACTGGGTCACATCAGCATATCTACTACAGAATGTGTGAAAAAGAAAAGAATCAAAGTGTTGCAAAGGCCCGCTCAAAGCCAAGATCGCAGTCTGATGACTGAGTATTAAATACTGTGGAGATACCTTAAGAGAGCTGTGCATAAACCCTTGCACACAAACCTCAATGGAGTGAAGAAATGCTGCAAAGGAGAGTGGGTCCAAATTCCTCCACAACAATGTGAGAGACTGATAGAGTCATACAGGAAGCCATTACTTCAAGTTATTATTGTTAAAAGTGCTTCTACAAGCTACTGATTAATGGGATGGACGGGATATACCACATCCGGGCTTGTAATACACATCTGCCACTGACATTTTACTCAGTGTGCCCTAACAGGTTGCTATAAAAATAACAGTTCTGTTGTTACTAATGTGTTACTAATGCAATTACATGATTAAAAAACCTCCTTTTTATTAATGAACACAATTACTTGCTTTGCAGGTTTTACCTATCCTCACATCTGTCAGAAATTCAAAAAAACCTTCTTTTTTTTTAAATAGAAAAAAGATTTAATATCTGATTTCTGATATCTTAATACCACATTATTGCTCTCAAAACTGCCTTAAAAGTAAGTGTGTGTATGTGAGGGGAGGTCTTATTATTGCCCATGAAATCAAGCTTTCATGTCAGTAGAAGCTCATTTGGGATCTTGTTAATTTGTAAAAACTGGGCAGTTTCATTAATGGAACATTTCTCAATCTTCCAAAATAAATTACCTTTAAATTTAGAAAATGAGAAAAGGATTCTAGATACTCAGAAAAACGTTTTAGCAATCACCAAGCCACCAGCGACCTCAGAGTATTCTTCTGCTGAAAGCTTTTTTAGATGCTTCTAAGCAGGAGAACAGTCTATAAACAGGAGGTGTAAATAAACTGAACCCAAAGCACACCCCCATATAAGTCTGCTATGAACCTGAATTATAGCTCCAAAAATCACACAACAGAGCTACAGAGCATCAACTTGTTCTGTATGTAAATTCTCCAAAAGATGAAATTGGAGCAGACGTAATGACCACAGCACATCTGTAATGTTCAACTC